ACACACACACACACACACACACACACACACACACACACACACAGACAGAGAGAGAGAGAGAGAGAGAGAGAGAGAGAGAGAGAGAGAGAGAGAGAGAGAGGATGAAGGATGAATGGCGGATAGAAGTCGATTACGTCTGAAGTTCGGGGAGAGAGAGAGAGAGAGAGAGAGAGAGAGAGAGGATGAAGGACGGATCGAAGAAGATTAAGGCGTCTAGTCTAGGGCGCGGGATGTCGAGAAAAATCTACAGGGATAGGTGGAGGTTGGGAGGGAAGGAAAGGGCGATTTCGTTATTCATCCTATCACCACAACGGTCTATTGATCGATTGATCATCGATCGCCTGATCATCGATCGATTGATTGGTCGATTGATCGATCGATCGATCGATCGATGGCATCAATCAATGGCATCAATCAATGGATTTGAATCATCATGTCTTCACTTTCACTTTACTGCTTAGGCTTCTTCACCGCAGGAACTCGAGGGAGGTGCACAGGTCGATCGGCTGAGGTTGGGCGGCGAGTAAAGAAATGGACAGAAATGGACAGAAATGTTTCTGATTTCCAGAAATGTTTCTCATTGACAGAAATGGACAGATATGTTTCTGATTTACAGAAATGTTTCTCATGGACAGAAATGTTTCTCATGGACAGAAATGTTTCTCATGGAAAGAAATGTTTCTCATGGACAGAAATGTTTCCAGACTGAGATGGCGAGATTTTTCTGCCATGGATTTTTTTTATTATTTTTTTTCCGGTTGCACCTTTGGCTCCACTCGAAGCTGGAGATTAGAAAATAATAAATTCTTGACAGGTAAGCTCATAGATCAATAAGAACTAATACTAATGATTTGAGACGAAACTGGACCTGTAGATAGAGATGTCGATGGACCTGCAGAGAACTGGAACTGGATTTGGGACTGCAAATAGAGAAGGATGGTCACAGAGAGTTTTGGTGCAGATGACAGAGGAGGGGAGGGGGAGGGGGGGGCGGAGGGCAGGAATGACAGAGAGGGAGAGAGAAAGGAGATGAGAACAAGTAGAGGAGGTGGAGGGAGAGCAGAAGGAAACAAAGAGAGGAGGGAGAGGGAGAGAAGAAGGAGAAGAGAAGGAGAGGAGGGAGATAAAAGGAGAAGAGAAGGAGAAGGAGAGAGAGGAGAGCGAGACGGAGGAGAGGGAGAGGGAAGGGGGAGGGGGAGGGGGAGGGAAAGGAGAAGAGAACGAGAAGAGGATCCTGAGAATGGAGATGGGGCCCCGCTTGGTTTTTGCCCCTGTGAAGCCCCGCTTGGTGCTCACAGGCCTTGGTGTGGAAGTGGGAGTTGCTGAGAGGACCGAGGGAGTCGTCCTATATCACATGACAATGGCGATTGATCGATCGTGTTCATTGAATCGGGTCGGGAATTGACTGCCTGTTCGTTAGAATATAGATCGCGATGTCGTGTCCACCTTGCCCTTCCCCCCCCCCCTTCCCTCTCCCCCTCCCCCTCCCCCTCCCCTTAAATGTATATTTAGTAGGTACTACCGTCTTCACCCGAATAGAACGCCCGGTCGGTAATGTGGTATCTGGGGCAACTTCCAGTCCAGACAGGTGTAATGACCGGGCGTAATGTGGTATCTGGGCCAACTTCCAGTCCAGATACAGGTGTAAGGACCGGGCGTTCTATTCGGGAGAAGAGGGTAGTATATAGCGAACGTCGAACTTTCCCTCGCTTATGACAGCTCGCACTTTGCCTTTATTTTTCGTTAAAAAAATGTCATTTTTTTCCATAATTAACCACACCTACTTTTCATTATTAGAACATACTCACACGAGCTCTATCTTAAATGTACCTGACCGCATTGACGGCCAGACCTGGATGCATCTGACTGGAATTCCGTCCATGAAGAAGTAAAATAGTCCTGCTGTGAGTATGGCCTAAGAGTCGGGGCAGGAATCTACTATTTTTCACCATTGCAAGTAAAATCCTACTTTTTACTGTGGGTTATGTGTCCACCCGTACCTCTCTTCCTCTCTCCCCGTCTGCTCCTCTCACTTTTATTTCTCTCTCTGTATCTCTACCTCTCTTCCACTTCTGTCTCTACCTCTCTGCCTCTCTCTATCTCTCCCTAGATATATTATCCCTCTCTGCGTACAGTTTACCGGGCAGCTCTGTTTGACGATATATATATATATTATATATATATAAATATATATATATCTTTATGGCTATAAATACTAGTTATCCGTACAGGCACATCTAGGTGCGTTGGTCTCTCTCTCTGTCTCTCGACCCCTTTTTCCCTTTCTCCCTCTCTCTCTCTCTCTCTCTCTCTCTCTCTCTCTCTCTCTCTCTCTCTCTCTCTCTCTCTCTCTCTCT